CGCTGTTGGAGCAGCAGGAGGAAGAACAGGTGAGGGCGGGGGCCGCAGTGCCCTGTGTGTGTGGTTGGGCCAGCGCTGACCTTATGCTCTCTTCTGCCCTCACAGATGCTGGCCCCGTGTCCCTTGACGGAGGAGGTCCTGAGGGAGGGCCTCTCTCTCCTCTGTAAGATCGGGAACGGCTTGGCCCATGCCTACGTGAGATTTGAAGCCAAATACAAGTGAGTGAGTAACACCTGCCCTGGGAGGAAGCCATCTCCTCCCCAGGCCTCTGTGCAGCCACAGAGCAGCTGCACCGCAAGGCCGCTGGTGACCGGTGTTGCCCAGCTCTCTGGCTTCTAGTCTGTGCCTTGGCATAACTTGTCCTTCCTCAGCCCTGAGTCCCCATGTGCTTCCTGATCAAGTTGAAAGGCATCCCTGCCCGTGACAGGGAGGTTGGATTAAATGGTCTCTAAGGTCCCTTCCAGCCTCGGCCCTTCTATGATTCTGTGATTCTATGACTGCCTCCACCATAGGCAGGCACACTGGTGAGGACATCAGCCCTCCCCCTAGTTTGAGCAGAGCATGTCCCTTTGTACTGTTATCTCCTAGGGGGACCTGAACAGGGTGACCTCCACACAGTTACTTTAAGAAATATCCATTAAGCATTTGTCCTGTTACCTGCTAATCTTTAAAGCATACACTTGTAAGAACAGTGCTGCAATAGCCTGGGGACAGTTTGGAGCCTTAGCCCCATCAGGACACTCACATACAACCCTAGACCTGACTAACAGGTCTCAGTAAGTCTGTCTTCCAGCAACCTCACAGGTATCTCAGCCAGCTTTTTTCCACTAGCAAAGTCCTTTCACACAGTTCTTGGTGTTGCCACTACTAGTTAACAGACCCATTCCCCCAAACTTGCTCTCTTTCCTGCTCTGATTCTCCCCTCTCCTGACAGGTACAATCCAGTGGGAATAAGTACTCCCAGTGCCAGGAAAGCAGGTCCAATCTTAACATACAGCCTTGTTTACAGACTCTTTGCCTGTCCGTATCACCTGTCTTTTTCCTCCTCTCCAGCAAGGCTTCTTAGGGCAGGGAAGTGGGAGAGGAGGATGCCCTCCCTCCGGTAGCATTGAGGAGCAAACTGAAAACTGGTAGCAGGGAGAAGTATGTGAGATTTTTTTATTCACATCCTCACTCCAACAGGGACTTGACAGACATCAGCCTTCTTGAATGCTTCATTCACCTGCGGTATGTGGATTTGTCAGAGAACAAGCTGCAAGATTTGTCTCCGCTGAGCAGCCTAACCCACCTGCTTTGGCTGAGGGTGGATAGGAATCGGCTTACCAGTGCCCGCATGCAGGAGCTGCCATACCTCCAGATCATCAGCTTTGCTCACAACCGCATTGAGGATATGGAGGGCATTACTCACCCCCGCTTAGCCAACCTCAGTCTGATAGGTGATACAGACAACCTCTCTTTATTCTTGTGCACACAGGACACATTCTTTGGGTGGGATTAACTCTCTCGTTGTTTCTTCCTCCTCTGGCACTCAGGAAATAAAATCCGGACAGCGCAGGGCCTGAGTCACGGCCAGTTGTTCAGCCTGCAAATCCTGGAGCTGCGAGGAAACGTGCTGGGGAGCACAGCAGGACTCAATCTTCCTAAGCTCAAGAGCCTCTATCTGGTAAGGGATCAGCCAGCTAGGGGAGCGGGACAGAGCTGCTACAGAGCCTGACACCTAGAGTCAGTGAGAGGGAAGGCAGAGGAGGCTGTCACCTTCAAAGCAGCGTAATTTTCAAGCTAGCCTGTTCAGTTCAATCTTCTAGCCTGAGAAAGGAACAGATTTCAGAGAGCTAAAGAGACAAAATCACTTCCTTGGCATAGCTCTGCTAGTAGTTCTACACCTTCTGTCTAGATAGTGCAAAGGGAGTAGCCAATGACCAGTAATTCCACTGCAAAGAGTGGGGGAGTTCGCAGCATTCAGCGCACTGGCCTTCTACATGACAGTATTCTCTTCTGGCAGAATTAGACAAACTTGTATTTGGTGTGTCCTAGCATCCCTGAAGAAAACAACAGGTTTACTCTGGGTGACAGAGGGAGGCGATGCCTCTTTCTTCTTTCTGATGGGCCTAATCAAATACTGCTTTAAGAACAGCACAATTATATGATTCACACCTTCAGCTGCCAAAAAAGAAACAGATTGAACATCACAGTGCAACTAAGATAGGAGAAGCAATTTCTTAATACCATAAACAATTGCTTCAGGGAACATTTACTCCTAGAGATACAAGTGAGGAAAATACGTATGGCTTAGTCCTATGCATCACGCACTGGTACATCTTGTGAAGACTGGATAGGTGTCCTGAGTCACTGCCTCTTAAAAAGCAATTAAAGATGATAAAAGCTTTGAAAAGCTATATAGTTTCTTTTCATCAAGACTTCCTGGCAGAAAACGCCAAGGAGATTGCTTGCTGAGATTGCCTGCAATCTTCTGGTGGAAAACTGAGATTTTAGGACTTGAGGTGCTGGAAGAAGGGGTGAGGTCGAAAAGTCACTAGATGCAATACAGAATTTCAAAGTAAAACTAGTCACTTTAGTGAATGATTGGAGGGAAGCAAACACAGCACCTGTATTTAAAGAAGGTTCCTGGCAGGTCTCTGCCAGTAGTGCTTTGCTTTCTGTGTAAAAATTTTGTTATTACTTGAAGCATGGGTAGCTGATGCCTTAAGGACAGGATTCAACACAAAGGGTTCAATTTAAAGGAAGTGCACATAGTTGCAGATGAAATTTAGCCTTTAGGAAGTTATACCTGCTAGCAGGAAGACTGTGAGCTGGCTGCATACCATGTGGCACTTGTATCAGTTTGAGGATCACTGTTGTCAACAAGGTTGTGTTAGTTCCTGGTCATTGTGCAGTGGTGCAAAGTGGTGCAAAGGCAACTAGAGCAAGGCCAGGTATGCAGAGTAGCTTTCAATTAGAAATGGTGGCATCACATTTATGTGAAGAACTAAGGTAAGGTGACGATGTGATCATTTAATTAAAGTTGTCATATGGAATGTTATTTGATTTTGGGGAAAAAAAAATAAAAAAAACAACCCAGAAAAAATCCATTCTGCATTGTCCTGTTAGTGCTTGCAGGGCCAGAGCTACTAAAATTATTCACAGTGAAGTACTGAAGAAAGCGAGAGTGGTGGGAGGTCACTATTCATTTTACAGACCAGTGATCTGTGAGGTCTCCACTCTGTTTTCCACACCAGCTCCTGATTTCCTCTGAGGTACAACGTGCTAATCCTTCCTGGTTGTTAAATCTGTTGACATGACTTTTGCTACGTCTCAAACTTTCCTCTTTTTGTCTGTGTGTTTTTTGTCCTCTTTACTTGGCCCAGCTGCTCCAGACTCTCCTTTGTCCAGTTTCCGTTAAAATCCTCCTTTTCTACAAAATGTCCTTTTCCTGAGTGACCCAGTTCAGCCTGTGCCCCTTTTATGAGTCTCGGGCATTGGCCACGTCACTGCCTGGGTACCAGCAAGGAAGAGAGAGCACAACAGCACCTCTCTCCCTATTTTCCCATTCAAATATCTGCACCCTTAGAGACTGCAGCCCTGATCATTCCAACTGAAGCACTGCTCAGCTCCAGGCTGGAGAATGTGGCAGGGAGGTTGTAGTTTCCAGGGATGTTGCAAACTTGGCTGCGCAAAGCGATAAGCAGCCCGGTGCTAGCTCTGTGGTGAGCCAGGAGACCTCTAGCGGGCTTTTCCAGCCGAAATCCTGCTCTGAAGCTATGGCTGAAATTCAGAGCTTCGTATTTTCCGTCTCACGACTCAAATCACAAGTGAAGTTAAGTGGGAATTCGGAGCTGGTAGGACACATTCTTCCTGCTGTATGATTGTCAGGTTTGTTGCAAGAGGATGCTCCTGTGGATGGATAACAGCAATTATAACTGGCAAAGCCTAAAATTAAACCAGCCAACAACCCTTGTCTCCCTGTGACCTCTCTCAGGAACACACAGCCTGCTTCTGCTCCTAGAGGAGTAGAAGAGGAGGCTTCTGGGTAGCAGATTTCCCCACAAGGCAAGCAGCTGACACTGAAAGATCCCTGGACTACATGGACTATGTGACTGTGAGGAGCTGGTTATTCATCCTTTAAATGCACTTGCTTTAGGCTTAGGTCGGTGCTTTTCCCTCCATGCTGTTGCTCTCTGAGGCCTTTGGGGCTCAGATTCAGCACTGCTGTGGAAGGAGTGCTGTGCTGACAGTGGAGTATCCACCCGGGGTGGTTTTGTCTCAGTCACCAAGTGATGCTACAGGAAACACTTTTTCAGCAAACTTTTTGGTCCTTGAAAAGGACTCATTTGGGCAAGACCCTGAGCAACCTGCTCTAGCATCAGAGAAGGGTGTGTTATGAGCGGTAAGGAGTCTGAAGGGTAGATAGAGCTTCAAAGGCCAGAAATAACTGTTGTCCCCTCTCCTGTGTGTCCCTTTTTCCTTCTCCCTTCCTGCCTCCCTGGTCCTCAGGCCCAGAACGTTATTCGGAGCCTTGAGGGCCTCGAGGGACTAAGGCAGCTGGCAACTCTGCACCTGCGTGACAACCAGCTTGAGATCCTGGATGGATTCTGCAGTAGCCTGAAGTGCCTGCAGTACCTCAATCTACGGTGGGTCCTCCCTGCTCTATATTGGGACCAGAGAAGCCTTCATCAGGCTGTACTCCCATTTAGGTCTTTAGGATTTTCTGGTTTCTTTGACAGTTGAAGACCTGATGGGGATGGGTTGATCTTTACCATCCTTAACTGGTGTTGAGCCCTCAGCTGACTAGGAGTACAAGAATCAGGGCTTTTCCTGAGCTTCTTGGAAAAGATCTGCCTCTCACAATCCCATCTCATATTTTTTATTCCTTGCCGTAACTCATTTGAATCCCTCTGTGTCCTGAACATGACTGCAAGTGCTTTTTACTTCTTGGCATTTGCTGTACAGGGTGATATCACACAATTCAATGGACTTTTTGAGCACAGAGAAATCCAGAGGAGATGTCTTTTATGTCCCTGACTCTGGGGAGCTGCAGACAGATCTGAGTCTTAGAGCAGAGGTCTGTGGTCTGTGGTCTATAGCCTATCATGCTGTGAAGTTTTGCTTTATCTGTCTTGTCAGTTTACTGTTCCGAAGGGCTCTCACTACTTGCGTGTGTCTCCCCTGCTCTCTGTGCCTCATCTTCTTCAGGAATAACAGGATCAGTAACCTTCAGGAGGTGGAAAAACTGAAGGTCCTCCCCATGCTGCAGGCACTGGTGCTGTTGGACAATCCATGCTCCGATGAACCCAATTATCGGCTGGAGGTCCTGGTCCTGCTGCCACATCTACAACGCCTCGACAAGGAATTATTTGAGGAAGATGAGCGGGAAGAGGCGAACCAAATCCGTCAGAAAAGGCAAGAAGAAGAAAAGGTGAGAACAGCATGGCAGGACTAGAAGGAGGAAGTAAAGGGGAAGAGCGAGGATCCAGCAAGTCTCTCCTCCTCTAGATTACATGAGGAGAAGGCTGAAGGAGTTTAGTCCTGAGGGCAGAGGAGACTGAAACCAAGACTGGGCTTCACAACCTGATTGTTGTGGCCAGCATTGCAACCCCACTGCCACTCCCAAGCCCACTAGCAGAAGTGAGCGGTGAAAGGAGAAAAGAAGTCGGGCACAGAGTCATTTACGTTCTCCCTCTTTCCTTCATCAGGAAATGGAAGGATCTCTCCAGGGTGATGTAACTGAGTGACCCCTGTATTTAACACGTGTTCCCAGAGCCAGTCAAGATTTGAAGATGCCTTCCCCAACATGTGCAGCTGGGAAAGTGAGAGCTGTAGGTACCGGAGCTTCCTTCACCTCATTTGGCCCCTGAAGAAAAAAGAGGAGAGCTACCCAGCCTGGTCCTGGAAGCTGCCCTGAGGTACTGCAGTGTTTTTGCAGTCGCTGCACTCAGATGCCCTATTCTCAGTAGGCCCGAGAGGGAAAAGGGGAGAGTTACAGGTTCTGTGGTTCGACTTACGGCTCCCAAAAATCCTACAAGATTTTCTGATTTGAATAAAATTAATTAATGAGCCTGGAGTGACTGGAATTGTTTATCCTGCACACCCACTCCTGTTCCCTGGCTCCCTCACCCTCGTCTGTCTGTGTCTATCCCCTGTCTGCCTCTCTCCCTCTCTTTCTCTCTCCATCCTCTACGTGCTGTTTGCAAAGCTTTGCTAAATCCTGACTCATCGCAGCTCTGGGTCACATGCTGCTGTCCCGGCCCTATCAGGGGCGTCTCCATCCTGCTGCTGCCGCTACCGTTGGCTCCCGCCCTTATCGGGGGCGCCTCCATCCGGCTCCTGCCGCTGCCGTTGGCTTAGAGGACACATCATCTCCCCTTGAGGTCCTGCATCCCTCCTCAGCTTCGTCCTCTCTCCTCTCTACCAGCACTTTCTCAATCTCTCGTTCTCCCCTGCCCTAGGAAGGTAAGTGTCTCCCCACGGCCAGCACCCCCTCGCCGCACGCGTATTTCTGCTCCCCACCCTGTGCCCCCCAAAACCTCACATGCACTTCGGGGTCCCCGCGGAGAAGGACCACGATGAGCGGCATTAACAACTGAACTCCCCTCACTCCCTCCCCCTGCTCCTCCCACCTCTTTCCCCTCACCCCCACCCTTCTCACTTTTCTTTCATATTTTAATTTCAGGTGCTCCCTCCTTCCCTACCCCAGGCAAGCATCATTGCAGATGTGAACCTAGGGAATTGCAGGAGGGGGGC